AACATAACATATTGCGAAATGCTATTTTTTTTTCTTTTTTTCCTTAGGACTATGCCTAATTGTATAGTCCTCTGCGAGGTAGGCATGAGTATAAGCAATGCTACCTCCGTCGCTTAGAGTAATCGCAGCGAACCGTCCGCCGCTCGAGACAAGTCACTAGCAGAGAGCTGTGTCGCCACTAGCGTGTGAGGAGTGGGATAGTCCGCATGATTAGGTAACCTGAACTACTTGTGAGATATCTTTTAACTAGAACTTAGGGATAGGCTATACTGAGATTTCCTCTAGAAACGACTAGAAACTTCTGATGATCTTCTGATAAAGTCGTTACAAGAGATAATTAGATGTGTAGGCTATCGTGTTATCTGCGAGAGTGGCAATCGCGCTACACCAATTCATTCTATGTTGGAGCGGTGTGTGGAAACCATCCTGCCACACACGCAATTCCCCCCACATACCTCATCCTCGAGGATAGCTGCGCTATTGACACCAACGCTGCACGGAAACGAAGTGGCTGATCCTATCTCCATTAGATATTGAACCGATAGATCTATTTCGGACTTCACAGAATTTCTCTCAAAGTTTTCGTTCAAAAGGCAGGAGCGACAGTGTCGGTATATCAGTAAGGGCCAGTTAACACTAGGACTCACCCAGGCCCCTCACAGGTAGTGTATGACGGTGTGACATCATAGTTCCCGTGTATTATATATGTCACACACAGCGACAGCTTAGTCTTCGCTCAGCGGCGATTGGGCCGTTATGCCCCAGCATTTTTATATTCTTCACCATTGTGTCCTCATGCCGTCGGATGATCAAATCTACTTACATGTTGGCTACATATATTCACTGGCCTATGCGGCACGATATGTGTGTATGTTACACGCGAGACGCCTCGTTTCACGCAATCTAAAGCGAAGCGATAGGTCCGCACCACAAGCGACTTCACCGATGCGCCGGTGGTTTAGCTGTTTTGCCAGAAGACATAATAAACTGCGAACACGGAGTGTAACCACCATACAGTCCTAGGGTACCGTACCGCTACCTCGCGCAGAGCGCATCCACGGCAACAGCAGCCTCGGAGCTCCGAGTAAATTATCAATCTCTATAAGTTCTATAAAAAGATGAGCCATTGATTCGTCATTAAATATTGACGACCGAGTCGGCTGACAGGAGATATGATTTAGTAGCCGATTCGTAAATGGCTCTTTCCCCTCAATAATTCACGAAATAAGGGCACGCGCGCTTCTTGCGTATGGCTGCCCTGTCAGTATATACCGAAGTGCATCGCGTTCGGACGTGCGCGACTTCTCGCAATCGTGTCCACCGCCAATATAAATTACATTCTGCTGCCGTATCTTTCTTCTCCCATCTCTCGCTCTCGTTTCCTGTCCTCTCTCTCTCTCCCTTGCCTCATACCCGTCGCTCCGACCCTTTACTTTTCGACCTATACCTCCACATTCCTTTGCCTACGAACCCACGCGGTATATCCCACTCCCGCCCTTCCTCCAAACTACTCCCCTCTGCCAGTTACCGACGGCTGGCTTACGTGTCTGTGATTATCTCTTATACAATCCTTCCTCCCCGCCCTGTCCTCGCCTCCCCTCGCCTCCTTCATTCTTCTCCCTCCCCCTATTCCAACTCCTCTGCTGGCCTCGTCCCACGACGTCATGATTAGTGTCTGTGTATCATATCTCAATCCTACCAGGTCATACACCTTGCTCCCGCCTGTTCGTCGCCCCCCTTTTGCTCTCTCCTCGTCCTCCTGCCTCCATAGGCCGTCCTCTCCGCCCTCCGTCCGGGCCCATATGTCTGTGGGCGTATCTGCTCTACATGTTTCTCCTCGAACGATGTAACGCGCTGGCGGCTGAAAAATGACGCCAACTTTTAGCCTTCGGCATTTTAGGGCGCAGCTTGAGCGTGGTCATGGGCCTGAGTAACATGCATCGTGGAGCGTGCCTGTGCGCGCGTGAAGTGTAATCATTGTGTGCAGTACTGGAACCCGTACGGTGCGTCGGAGGGCCGGGGGTGTCGTGTCGCGGCGGGCTGCGGTGTTAGTTTGCGCCGCGCCTGCGGCATTCTACGCGCGAAGCATGGCGACGTAACTACGGCATCGATATTGCGGGGACGCGTCTCAAAGAGAGCTTACTTACTGTGGAAGGCGCGGGCGGGCGGGCAGATGGGCGGGTGTGCGGCGGCCGGTATAAGCATCTCTCTCCCATCCATCTGCTCTTTTTCCCTACCTCTCTACCTTTCTGCCCTCTCTGACCTCTCTCCTCTCTCTCTCCTCTCTCTCTCTCTCTTCTTCTCCTCTCTCTCTCTCCCTCTCTCCATCATCTCTATTTCCCTTCATCTCTCTCTCCCTCTTTTTCGCTCTCCCTTTTCTCTCTCCTCTTTCTCTCTCGCTCTCTCTCTCTCTCTTCTCTCTTCTCCCTCGCGTCTCCCTTGCTTCCTCCATCTCTTTTCTCTTCATCTCTCTCTCTCTCTCTCTCTTAAACTTTTCTCGCCCATCTCTTTCTCGTCCTCTTCTCTCTCTCTCTCTCCTCCTCTCTCCTCTCTCCTCTCTCCACTTCATCTCTATTTCCCTTCATCTCTCTCTCCCTGCTTTTTCGGCTCTCTCTTCCCTCTTCTCCTCTCTCTCTTTCTCTCTGCTCTCTCTCTCTCTCTCTCTGCTCGTCTCTCTCGCACGCTGCCTCTTCGTTGTCTCTTTCTCTCTCTCTCTTTCTCTCTCTCTCTCTCTCTGTTCTCTTCTCTCTCTCTCATCTGCTCATCTCTCTCTCTCCTCTCTCGCTCTCGCTCTCCTCTTCTCTCTCTCTCTCTCTCTCTCTCTCTCTCTCTCTCTCGCTCTCTCGCTCTCTCGCCATCTCTCGTTCTCTCTTTCTCTCTCTCCTCCACTCCCTATGTCTTCCTTGTAGCTCGCTGAGGGATATTCCCACTACTATATTTAGCTGCTGTACACACATACCCCCTCTACAGCTTCCATCTTGTGTATGAGCGCGTACGTGTGTGTGTGCGTGGGCGCGCGCGTGTGTGTGCAGGATGATAATTGAGATGAGTAGAGATTCATAATGTTGACTTGTTGATGTACAATTAAAGTATTTATCACATGATTGCCGTTTGAACTTAACATCGTACATTAATTAGAAATTCAAAAATAAGAGAAAACTGATAGGTTCAAACCTTGATAAAGCTATACTCCGTTATTCCCCAGTGATGCCCCTTGGGAAATAAACAGCCACCGTAATGGCACGTGATAATCATGTATCTCTGTTGATTCGTGGGTTTCGTGCGATAGTTCCTCAGAAACGAACACCGTAACCTTTACCCGGCTATACGACTAATCAGAAGAAGAGCGAGTTGATACATCGCAGTGTATATTGTTTCACTCTTATTATACATTCTCATGCATTCTCTCAAAATACCAGAGACGACGAAGAGGCGGAATCACACGTGCGGGGAAACATGTGCGTTGTTTATGGACGAGTTCAAATATAGCTGCTCGTGAACTGTATTAGACATAAATAGCGCAGCGGCCGCGCCTGTAGGGACCACAGCGTTCCTTAATGAAGCTCACATCACGAAGTCCACATCAGATATGCGAGCCTGCAACTCATACTCCACCGTACACAGCAGGCTGTGATATCAGCCGAACACAGCACACGCGCGCGATCTATATTATATTATCAAGAGTGTATTAAGAAGGCTTCTTAATACGCTCTTGATATTATCAGAAGCTAATAATGACAAAAATTATTTGACAATAAAATAATGACAAAATTTTTTCATTATTAGCAGCTGATATTATCAAAAATAAGACGATATGTTTGTACAATCTACTCTGATATTATCAGACTGCTGGTTAGTCGAAAACGCTGTCATAGCCAGACGTAACGCTGCAAGGATAAGCAATAAGCAATGTAAGGTATAGCTGCTGTATTTGCAAGCAAGGCCCTCTTTAGATTCTCTCCACTTATTGTGGGCTGGCTCTCTAGCTGTGGGTTAGTCTCAAAGTACTATAAGTGAACAGAGTAGAATTAACTAGGACCACTTATGCCTTCACCGAGTATATGTACGTACCACCCACGATGCACCTACCTGACTACAGTACGCACAACATTGCACATATTGGTGCCATGCAATATATTGGTGCACAAATTATTACACATATTGGTCATACACATATTACCATGGTACATACTACATATTATCATGGCACATATTATCACACATATTGGTGAACAATATATTGGTGCACATATTTGTGCCATCGCAATTACTAATGGTAATTTATCAGAACGCTTTTATACACGTTCACGTTGGTTGCTGTTCGTTTTTGCCTAATAATTTAAAGGCTGCAAAACCTACTTGGGGTCGAATTTGCTATCGGAGGATCTGTTAAAGAATTGAAGTTTGGAGTTTGAAGAATTTTTTTCTCTTTTACATTTCGGATTTGCTATCGGAGAATCTGAATAAGTCTGAAGAATGTTTCTCTTTTACATTTTACTGAACATTTTACTGTTTGAAAAATTATACAGAAAGTCCGCGGCGTGGATTATAATATTGAGTTATATGCTACCGGTTGATAATTATTACAAAAAGCCCAAGAAAACCAACTTATATCAATAATACTAGTTCATTTAGAATTCCCCTTCTATTTATTTAAAGGATGTTCCCATTTGCACTTACACCGCGACATTTTGCGCGACCTGCTGTTTACTGGTGTTTTGTGTTTTTCACGGGTGTGACCGCCCGCCTTGTGTTTCTCGTGGAATAGCGACGGGGAACAGGTCTAGCTGGCAGTATACGTTGCTGTAGGAACGCACGCTCTGATTTATGGAGATTGGGTCGAATTAGGTTAAGGACCAGCAGTTTTTTGTAGTTTCGCGATCCATGACACCTCACCTTTAAACACTAAGCACAACGCTAATGAGCATGGGGCATTTTAATGCGCATTTAATGATCGTTGAAGCGCGCCTATGCATATACACTTGTGTTTATGTTCTCAGGTCCCATCACGCATTACTTCCTACCGATGGACGACCGGGATGGCAGACATCTTGTAAATCCATCCGGTCTAGAAGCCGAGGTGTTCGGAGCCCCGGGCGTCATAGACGGCGTCGTTGGCAACGCCCTGACGCTCAACGGCAAGCATCAGTGGGTGCAGATAGGCGGCAGAGAGGAAGATCTCAATCCTTGTTTCGTCGACCTTGAGAAATGCATGGATGGTACGTACAGGGGCGGATATACCAGCACGTAACACGGCGGCGACGCCGTGTACGTGCCGTAAACGCGCGGAACCTTAATTCGATGCATGAAGATCAAACGCGTGAACGCACGTGACGTCATTACGTTAAATACACGTATGCGTAGAGTGCGTCATCGAGAAAATTGACGACTATGAGCGGCAGCACGTTCGCGTTCGATTCTGTCATCGTTTCTTTATCGATATGATTTTGTTCAAATTAGAATGTGTTTAGCGGGTGACGGTGTACAAAGCTAGAGGCGACGCGCGGACATTGACCATATGACAAAGTGACAAGATATCGACTATATTTTAAAGTGACAATGTGACAGGTCATGATCGGATATTAATAAGTGAATTTGTTTCAGCAGGAGACGGAATTACCTTTGGAGAGAGTCTGCACAGAGGTGTCTATTCTGCGTGTTTGTGCGTCCGTGTGCGTGCGTGCGTGCGTGTGCCCGCGTGTGCTTGCCTGCATGCGTGTGTGGTTGCGCGTATACGTGATTGCGTTCATATGTCCGCACACTTGCGCATGCGTGCGTGTGTGTGTGTGCGTGCGTGCGTGCGTGCATGCGTGTGTGTGATGTGTGTGTGGGTGTGTGTGTGTGTGTGTGTGTGTGTGTGTGTGTGTGTGTGTGTGTGTGTGTGTGTGTATGTGTGAGCGTGTATGTGTGTGCGTTCGTTCGTCCGTATGTACGTGTGTTTGCATGCGGTACTTTCCAGAAAGGAAATGACTTCTGTAGCCTACATAGAGCACGCCGCTCTATACAGTCTCTTGTTGCTAACAAACGCAATGAAGTTTTGCACGCATTTGATTTATCGCAAAAGAATAGAGTGCGTGCACAGCATGTAGGATGTAGGATTTCACGACTGCATGAGTCATAGGTTTCACACACAGATGGTCGGAATGCTAAGCTTAGATCATTGAGTCTTATAGTGAGCAATATAGTCATGCTCCATGTGAATAAAGCATTCCCCCTCCAACAACATAAAAGTATGCATGCGCAATATATAACTTTATTTATTTATTTATTTATTCATTTATTGATACCACATTCTTCTTGGAAAACGACTGACTTCAAACAATACCAATGCATGCCAAGGAATTCTTTTCGAAAAAATTAGTTCAGTTATTCAGTGTTTTCTTCGATAGTGCTAGCAACTTAGCAAGTAAAGCGGCTCTGGCATCTAAACGTAGGGCATGATAACTGATTTTTGCGTGTGATTAATATTTAATATTGCATGTCGCGTATAGGCTACCTACTAAACAAGCAGGCGTTACAAATAGTATAAATGGCGTTTGGATATACGGTAACAGGGATGTTGCATAAAACATCTTAATTTTTACAGTGATTGAGAAAGCAAAATATGGAACTATACATAGACATTTACATGTATGTGTGTATAGCTATACGAGAATGTTACCTAATTATATATACTAGTTCGGTACATGCGAAACTATTGGCGTATCAGTTGCACTTGTATTCAAATGATAAAGTTTAAACACTCGCTCAGCGTGTTGGTATAGGATGTCTAGACAAGATTAGCAGTAGAGAACATCTTATAACTGACATTAACACCTTTGCAGGAAACACGTTCATGATGTGGCTGAAGTTAGACCACGGTGATGACGATTATAAAATTATCCTTTCCAACGGTGGTCATTCTCCGCAATCCCACGGGGTGGCGCTGCTGCACGCCGACCAACGCTTTGAAGTTCGCTACAGAGAGAAGGTAAACAACATAGCAAGTAATCACGAACATAGGATTGCTGTTTATCTTGGATTCTTGTGAAACTATACATAATATATAAATTCTTTCCTTGGCGCTTCGTCGCGCCATGATATAATACTAATAGTATATGATACCAGCGATGCTTATCACATGTCATACATGCCAACTTATTTTGAATGAAAAGCGGTAGATCCGCGTGCGACGCAGTCGCGCGCGCCGCTAGGGGGGTCTGGGCCTCTGGGGGCTTGCCCCCCCAGGAAAATTTTCAAAAAATGGTGCTAAATGGTGCCTTCTCCTGCATTCTGGGGAGTAATTGGACTGCAATAGAATACATTAGAGATACATTACATCAAGAGCGGATAATACCTAGAGTGTACAACGGAAAAACGGGAAAATAGTGCTATTTCACGACTACATTATTCTACTTTGCCTGCGAGTCTAGAATAATTTCATGGTATTGCATTAAGCAGAATTCTTTGCTCTCTAAAACAAGACCAACCGCTTGTCAATACCATTCTCCCAGGCGGAGACATCCGCTCCTAAA